ACTCATCAATTTCAGACAAATGTGGCTGAATAACTTAACAACAAAAACTCAGGGCAAAAATCCCACTGATTAGGCAGAAAGATCCCCTATAGGCATCAAAGATATCTCTGATCCTTTGTAGAATGTCTGATACCAGAGTAACTGTTGGATTCAAGGTAGACTGTTTGATTCAAGGTAGTCTGTCCAATTCTAGGTAGACTGTGTGTCCAATTCCAGGTAGACTGTTTGATACTAGGTAGTCTGTCCAATTCTAGGTAGACTGTTTGTCCAATTCTAGGTGGTCTGTCCAATTCTAGGTAGTTTGTCCAATTCCAGGTAGACTGTGTGTCCAATTCCAGGTAGACTGTTTGATACTAGGTAGTCTGTCCAATTCTAGGTAGACTGTTTGTCCAATTCTAGGTTGACTGTTTGATTCTAGGTAGTCTGTCCAATTCCAGGTAGACTGTTTGATACTAGGTAGTCTGTCCAATTCCAGGTAGACTGTGTGTCCAATTCCAGGTAGACTGTTTGTCCAATTCTAGGTAGACTGTCTGATTCTAGGTAGTTTGTCCAATTCTAGGTAGACTGTCTGAGTCTAGGTAGTCTGTCCAATTCCAGGTAGACTGTGTGTCTAATTCTAGGTAGACTGTTTGATTCTAGATAGTCTGTCCAATTCCAGGTAGACTGTTTGTCCAATTCTAGGTAGACTGTCTGATTCTAGGTAGTTTGCCAATTCCAGGTAGACTGTTTGTCCAATTCTAGGTAGACTGTTTGATTCTAGGTAGTCTGTCCAATTCTAGGTAGACTGTCTGATTCTAGGTAGTTTGTCCAATTCTAGGTAGACTGTCTGATTCTAGGTAGTCTGTCCAATTCTAGGTAGAGTGTGTGTCCAATTCTAGGTAGACTGTTTGATTCTAGGTAGTCTGTCCAATTCTAGGTAGACTGTTTGTCCAATTCTAGGTAGACTGTTTGTCCAATTCTAGGTAGACTGTTTGATTCTAGATAGTCTGTCCAATTCTAGGTAGACTGTCTGATTCTAGGTAGTTTGTCCAATTCTAGGTAGACTGTCTGATTCTAGGTAGTCTGTCCAATTCTAGATAGACTGTTTGTCCAATTCTAGGTAGACTGTTTGTCCAATTCTTGGTAGACTGTCTGATTCTAGGTAGTTTGTCCAATTCTAGATAGACTGTTTGTCCAATTCTAGGTAGACTGTTTGTCCAATTCTAGGTAGACTGTCTGATTCTAAAACTGACTCAAGATAGCCCACCTAGAATGAGACAGAGAGTCTATCTGATTATACCACTATCAGAGTTCTAACATGGATTCTAGATTGACTGTATTCTGATTATCTAAGAGTACTGTCCATTATCATGTTGGATTGTGCTAGTATGCAGGTGCTAAACATTACAAATATTCTTGGAACTCCTGGAATTGATCTAGTGCCGATGAGCTAGCGTTGTGCCTGGTTCTCAGACTCCCTGTGGACACTGACTTGCCTCTCCTCATAACACCACAGTCAGCTCAATCATGTTTCTTTTATTTCCAGAAAAAAACACTCTCTGAAATTTTTACAAGGGTTACAAAATTGTGTGGATTCTTTTGAAGTTCCAGAAAGTCACATTTTGTTGGTGAAGTTGTTGAGGACAGCGATGATGATTTTCTCGCTGTACACCATGATAAATGGAAACGCTTGTTTACATATACGTCTTTGCATAGGAGAACAGCTACACAAATAGCTTCTTGCAGTTTTCAAAAACAGCTTAACTAGCTATAGGTCACCCATACAGCAGTAATATGCATGTTCCTCAAAACAAATCAGCTTTGAGGAAGTCAAACTAATAAGGAATGCATGTTAATTTCTCCTGCAATTTGGATTTGGATTTCAAAAGGTCATCAGTTAGGGAATGGTGAAAGGATATTTATTGATTAAAAATATATCAGTTTTAAGGAACGCCTGCTAAGTTTGATTTCATGGACAGTCAGAGGTGGATTATTCTGCTTTCCAAGATGGGAGGGGGCCAAAAGCTAAAACATATGGGGCTGTTGGGAGACATGTGTGCATGTGCATGTGCATGTGCTGCAGTCACCTAGGAAACACATCCAACACAGGGAAACACAAAGCCTTGCTCCAAGGCCATACTGAAAGATAAATCCATGGATGTGTAGTAGTTCTATCTTCCTATTGGAGGCCTATTCTGCCCTAAATCCCCATGGGGAGACAAGCATGAGGTATTGGAGGCCTATTCTGCCCTAAATCCCCACGGGGAGACAAATATGGTACTGGGGACCTATTCTGCCCTAAATCCCCATGGGGAGACAAGCATCTGGTATTGGGGACCTATTCTGCCCTAAATCCCCACCGGGAGACAACCATGGGGTACTGGGGACCTATTCTGCCCTAAATCCCTACAGGGAGACAAGCATCTGGTATTGGGGACCTATTCTGCCCTAAATCCCCACCGGGAGACAACCATGGGGTACTGGGGACCTATTCTGCCCTAAATCCCTACGGGGAGACAAATATGGAGTGTGTTGAAGCAGTGACATTTGCTCTGAGGTCGCTCTGGTCTAAAACTACAGAGAGTTGCATCCCTTGGGCACACCAGGAACCGATGATCATGGGTTCGAATCCTGGTTTGCCCCGATATGTTTCTAGGTTTGTCAGCACCATACCCGTGCTCATGGGTTTCACCAAAGTGGTAAACGTCTGTTTGTGTTCATGGCTACATGTGCTTAAAATGCTTAAATGAAAATAATTAATCCTCATCAAGGCCTGCTGATTAAAACAGAAAGGCCCTAATCAGGAATAATCATACATAAATGAGATACTTGATGACATATCATGATCATTAAAGGCAGGTAATTGAATCTTCAGGAACTCTCCAGGAGAGTAATCACAGGTGGTAGCTAATAGACAGCTAATAGACAGATGCTTAGTAAGAACTTCCATACGTTATACATAGTGAGGGCTGTTGAATATAACAAAAGATCCCCAAAGAGGTTTATTCAATAGTTGCTACAACTACAGGCAGCAGTTTACTACATATACTCAATCAGGGCTGATGATTGCAACTGTAGGGCCCTAACCCTGGATAATTATTTTGTTACTTTGAAGTGGTTCAGTCAGGCATTCAATGGAAGCAGTCAACCATTAGCTTTGGAGCAAACATTTACTGTCATTTAATCACCCCAGCATTTGTCGGGGTTAACAATCTTAAGAGTGATTACTTCACCTGACATGCTCAGTGACTAAAAGCCGTCAATTGTATCTCGCTGGCTGTGGAACGTGCAGCGCCATCATGTATCGCAGGCTCTCCCCTCTCCCACATCCTTCCTGCATTAACCTACCATTACACAACTCAAGACCTGAGAGGGTTTTCGCTGATTTCATCTGAGCTTCATCAGACGGACCGTGCAAACTTACCCCATGGACCTAGGTCAACATGAACTTGACCCAACTTCAATTAAAAGTTCGGCCTTCTGTGAAATTAGAACCATGAGGCCTATGGGTCATAGACCTCTTGAAGTAGTCCTGCGCTATGACTGTGGAATATATTTATTTTATGAAAATATACAATTTAGATATTAACAAAAGCGAGTCTAGCCAGCTCTAGCTTAATCTTTTCCAAATCAGCATCAGGAAAATTATTTGTTTAATTTTAGAGTCGAGAAGAGTATAGTGTAAAATAAGATTTCTTAGACTAATTGTAAGATTTTATGTCTAAAACATAGACAACAGATTAAAACAGTGATTGATATTGTACATGGTTATTAATAAGGCTATTAATCACACAAACGTTACACTAGTCAACTGATAAGGAGTCAATGAGGAAACAAAGATATGAAACTCAACAAACCCAACGAATGACATGAACTCTCGTACATCACATCATGAGACTAAAGTGTTTTCTAGTGAGTGAGTGAGTGAGTATGGTTTTACGCCGCTTTCAGCAATATTCCAGCAATATCACGGCGGGGGATACCAGAAATGGGCTTCACACATTCTACCCATGTCGGGAATCGAACCAGGGTATTCGGCGTGACGCGCGAACGCTTTAACCACTAGGCTACCCGACCGCCCCTATAGTGTTTTATAACGCACTGTCATGTTATATAACACATAGAGCAGTCCAACTCAATTGTTCCCAGTAACAAACCTCTGTTCACAAGTTGAGATATCTTCCATGGCAAATGTTTTTGAGGGGTAATCTACAAATCTATGAATGTTGACTGACAAGTCTGTGCTTGTGCTTATGACCTAGATGTTCCGTGCCCCCCCCCCCCCCCCCAAGGCTGGAGTTGTCAGCACTGTCAAGTGCTCCCTCTCTACACATGTACACAACACAGGAGTACAAGCAAGCCCTGCAACCTGGCCATATATCACCCTGCCCAGCTGTCAAACTCATCAGTCAACTTCAAAATGATGGAAAACTAATAAAACATCTACAGGAAATAGTGAACTTCTTTCCCTATCAGTTATCTGAAAAACATTGCTAGATATCAAACAATTTGTTAACTGTCATATTTATTTACACAAAGATAGAAAATTGAAGCCCAACTGTTGTGAACATTGAATCCTGTACTTGACTGCTCCTGGTAGGGAGTGGTGAACATAAGATCGACAACAACATGGTGGAGAAGGGGGAGCATCTGTCACACAAGACACGGCTCGTGACACAGAATCTCAAATCCTTTCTTAAAAACAAACTCTACAAGAAGCAACACATCCATGCTACCAACTCTCTGATATACATCATTACTAAAAAATAATTTTTTATAAAATGTGAAAAAAGTTATTCAACAATGACTATCGAGTTTAGGTTCTGTCATGTAAGCTCGGAGTCCCATCTGGATGTGTTCGGTGAACACAGCATACTGTGTGGTATTGTGGAAACTGTGCAGCAAGATTACACAACTTGCGTCAAGTTAAGTGGCATGTTCCCGTGGCTCTCTGCGTGACTTGACATCACTACACCATGTCTAATGTTTTCCTGACAAATCTACCAACATAAAATACTCACAGAAAATTGCTTGAGTTCTGGGACTCCATGTCTTTCCAGGTAACATCCAACAATCACAGGGAAGTAAAAGATCTAATCACACACATCGCCTACTGACCACTGACAGAGCTCCAAGATCTCTATGTCAGTCGTGGTCGTTGTCGCCACAGCTACCGCCACTGGTGTAGTTTCCCTGCTGCCTTTAGACCTTACAAGATTTCTCCAATACAGGCGGGGCATCAATCATTCTACTCTCAATCACTGAAGAGCTCTCCCTCCTCACTGTTGCAGCACAACTCACTACAACCTGCTGTAGAGTTAGCTAGCTGACTCCCTACACTGACAAAGAGGGGTCACTACTGTACAACCTGTTCTAGCTGTGTTTGCTGTACAGTTAGCTAGCTGACTCCCTGCACTGACAAAGAGGGGTCACTACTGTACAACCTGTTCTAGCTGTGTTTGCTGTACAGTTAGCTAGCTGACTCCCTACACTGACAAAGAGGGGTCACTACTGTACAACCTGTTCTAGCTGTGTTTGCTGTACAGTTAGCTAGCTGACTCCCTACACTGACAAAGAGGGGTCACTACTGTACAACCTGTTCTAGCTGTGTTTGCTGTACAGTTAGCTAGCTGACTCCCTACACTGACAAAGAGGGGTCACTACTGTACAACCTGTTGTAGCTGTGTTTGCTGTACAGTTAGCTAGCTGACTCCCTACACTGACAAAGAGGGGTCACTACTGTACAACCTGCTCTAGCTGTGTTTGCTGTACAGTTAGCTAGCTGACTCCCTACACTGACAAAGAGGGGTCACTACTGTACAACCTGTTCTAGCTGTGTTTGCTGTACAGTTAGCTAGCTGACTCCCTGCACTGACAAAGAGGGGTCACTACTGTACAACCTGTTCTAGCTGTGTTTGCTGTACAGTTAGCTAGCTGACTCCCTGCACTGACAAAGAGGGGTCACTACTGTACAACCTGCTCTAGCTGTGTTTGCTGTACAGTTAGCTAGCTGACTCCCTGCACTGACAAAGAGGGGTCACTACTGTACAACCTGCTCTAGCTGTGTTTGCTGTACAGTTAGCTAGCTGACTCCCTACACTGACAAAGAGGGGTCACTACTGTACAACCTGTTCTAGCTGTGTTTGCTGTACAGTTAGCTAGCTGACTCCCTACACTGACAAAGAGGGGTCACTACTGTACAACCTGTTCTAGCTGTGTTTGCTGTAGAGTTAGCTAGCTGACTCCCTACACTGACAAAGAGGGGTCACTACTGTACAACCTGCTCTAGCTGTGTTTGCTGTACAGTTAGTTAGCTGACTCCCTTCACTGACAAAGAGGGGTCACTACTGTACAACCTGCTCAAGCTGTGTTTGCTGTACAGTTAGCTAGCTGACTCCCTTCACTGACAAAGAGGGGTCACTACTGTACAACCTGTTCTAGCTGTGTTTGCTGTACAGTTAGCTAGCTGACTCCCTACACTGACAAAGAGGGGTCACTACTGTACAACCTGTTCTAGCTGTGTTTGCTGTACAGTTAGCTAGCTGACTCCCTACACTGACAAAGAGGGGTCACTACTGTACAACCTGTTCTAGCTGTGTTTGCTGTACAGTTAGCTAGCTGACTCCCTACACTGACAAAGAGGGGTCACTACTGTACAACCTGCTCTAGCTGTATTTGCTGTACAGTTAGCTAGCTGACTCCCTACACTGACAAAGAGGGGTCACTACTGTACAACCTGTTCTAGCTGTGTTTGCTGTACAGTTAGCTAGCTGACTACCTACACTGACAAAGAGGGCTCACTACTGTACAACCTGTTCTAGCTGTGTTTGCTGTACAGTTAGCTAGCTGACTCCCTGCACTGACAAAGAGGGGTCACTACTGTACAACCTGCTCTAGCTGTGTTTGCTGTACAGTTAGCTAGCTGACTCCCTACACTGACAAAGAGGGGTCACTACTGTACAACCTGTTCTAGCTGTGTTTGCTGTACAGTTAGCTAGCTGACTCCCTGCACTGACAAAGAGGGGTCACTACTGTACAACCTGTTCTAGCTGTGTTTGCTGTACAGTTAGCTAGCTGACTCCCTACACTGACAAAGAGGGGTCACTACTGTACAACCTGTTCTAGCTGTGTTTGCTGTACAGTTAGCTAGCTGACTCCCTACACTGACAAAGAGGGGTCACTACTGTACAACCTGTTCTAGCTGTGTTTGCTGTACAGTTAGCTAGCTGACTCCCTACACTGACAAAGAGGGGTCACTACTGTACAACCTGTTCTAGCTGTGTTTGCTGTACAGTTAGCTAGCTGACTCCCTACACTGACAAAGAGGGGTCACTACTGTACAACCTGTTCTAGCTGTGTTTGCTGTACAGTTAGCTAGCTGACTCCCTGCACTGACAAAGAGGGGTCACTACTGTACAACCTGCTCTAGCTGTGTTTGCTGTACAGTTAGCTAGCTGACTCCCTACACTGACAAATAGGGGTCACTACTGTACAACCTGTTGTAGCTGTGTTTGCTGTACAGTTAGCTAGCTGACTCCCTACACTGACAAAGAGGGGTCACTACTGTACAACCTGCTCTAGCTGTGTTTGCTGTACAGTTAGCTAGCTGACTCCCTGCACTGACAAAGAGGGGTCACTACTGTACAACCTGCTCTAGCTGTGTTTGCTGTACAGTTAGCTAGCTGACTCCCTACACTGACAAAGAGGGGTCACTACTGTACAAATTGTACTGTCCACCCAATGGAACCCCTCATGAATTGTCAACTCTAAACTCAGCTATTAATAGCTGTCAATTATGGATATTGTAAACTGGAAGTGAGATTTGTTTCTCATATTTCTAACCATTACTTTGCATAACAAATCTGGTCCTGTGGCTATTTTTTCTCTATCAGTAATGACTTTTTTCCTCACACAGACATGTCCATGGGCCTACTTTCTTCTGTAGTGATGATGAGGTCGAGAACTAAGGGATATCTAGTGGGAAGACAGCACTGGAACAAAATAGTTGACAGTGTTATTTAGGCAGAGGGGTATACTGTTATATATACTGATGTTAGTAGTGTCATTTAGGCAGGGAGGTATACTGTTATGTACAATGATTTAGACAGTGTCATTTGGGCAGGGAGGTATACTGTTATATACAATGATGTAGACAGTGTCATTTAGGCAGGGAGGTATACTGTTATATACAATGATGTAGACAGTGTCATTTAGGCAGGGAGGTATACTGTTATATACAGTGATGTAGACAGTGTCATTTAGGCAGAGGTATATACTGTTATATACAATGATGTAGACAGTGTCATTTAGGCAGGGAGGTATACTGTTAAATACAATGATGTAGACAGTGTCATTTAGGCAGAGGTATATACTGTTATATACAATGATGTAGACAGCGTCATTTAGGCAGGGAGGTATACTGTTATATACAATGATGTAGACAGTGTCATTTAGGCAGAGGGGTATATACTGTTATATACACTGATGTTAGCAGTGTCATTTAGGCAGAGGGGTATACTGTTATATACAATGATGTTAGCAGTGTCATTTAGGCAGAGGGGTAAAATGTTATATACACTGATGTTAGCAGTGTCATTTAGGCAGGGAGGTATACTGTTATATACAATGATGTAGACAGTGTCATTTAGGCAGGGAGGTATACTGTTATATACAATGATGTTTGTAGTGTCATTTAGGCAGGGTGGTATACTGTTATATACACTGATGTTAGCAGTGTCATGTAGGCAGGGAGGTATACTGTTATATACAATGATGTTAGCAGTGTCATTTAGGCAGGGAGGCATACTGTTATATACAATGATGTTAGCAGTGTCATTTAGGGAGAGGTATATACTGTTTTATACAACGATGTAGACAGTGTCATTTAGGCAGGGAGGTATACTGTTATATAAAATGATGTTAGCAGTGTCATTTAGGCAGGGAGGAATACTGTTATATACAATGATGTAGACAGTGTAATTTATCTATTATTTATTTAATATTTTTTTTAAAATAACAAATCCATAACCTTAACACTTGGGCATGTTGCCAGATATTGTTGACGTCTGGAACAGTTTTACCAGTCAGTGTTAAGGCTTCGCACAATCTTGCTGTTTCCATCTCAAACGTTGACATGTAATGGTCAAACAACCACACATAGGACATTTTACGAGGCAGAGTATGGCATCTATGATATATGTATCCGTTCTCTGACAATTAAGGGTCGTTCTTAGGCTTCCATAGCATGAATCTGATCATGAACTACATTGCGGGGAGTTGGTGCGATCCGTGCATAACTGCATCAGGGATAAAAACATAAAAATTCATTGTATGTATTTATCATGCACACTCCCAGAACATATCTGCATTATTTGGAAAAAAAGATACTAGATACTATACTATATATTGTACAAGACTGAAAATACTCTATTTGCAAGGATGTGGACGATGTTAGAACCATTGTGTCAGTAATTAGCTGACCTGAAACTGAAAACTCTTTATCCTAATGTGGAACATTAACTTTGATCTGACCAGAGAGCAGGTGATGGTTGAGGAAACAACTGTCAAAGACTTAGAGTCAGCCATCAAAATGATGCTTTAGGAAAGAGTCAGGATTTTCTAGAGACTCCAGGTAGCCAGGTGAAGTCGGGTCAAATTTCACTGACAGTTCAGTTACAATGAAGTTATTATTAGCCAGGAATCTTATGATTAAGTGGACACAGGCTAGCATTTACTAGCCTGTATAAATCTATATAACTAGGAGCAAGAGTATTGCCTTGTGTGAGTAGACCAGGGCAGGCTGTAGCATGGACTTGACAAGGCTAGGACATTGAAGTGAGTGAGTGAGTGAGTGAGTGAGTGAGTGAGTGAGTGAGTGAGTGAGTGAGTGAGTGAGTGAGTGAGTGAGTGAGTGAGTGAGTGAGTGAGTGAGTGAGTGAGTGAGTGAGTGAGTGAGTGAGCAACCGGCATCAGTTCCAATAGAGCAACCAGCATCAGTTCCAATAGAGCAACCGCCATCAGTTCTAATAGAGCAACCAGCATCAGTTCCAATAGAGCAACCACCATCAGTTCCAATAGAGCAACCAGCATCTAATAGAGCAACCACCATAAGTTCCAGTAGAGCAACCAGCATCTAATAGAGCAACCACCATCAGTTCCAATAGAGCAACCACCATCAGTTCTAATAGAGCACCCACCATCTAATAGAGCAACCAGTATCAGTTCCAATAGAGCAACCACCATCAGTTCCAATGAGCAACCAGCATCTAAAAGAGCAACCACCATCAGTTCCAATGAGCAACCAGCATCTAATAGAGCAACCAACATCAGTTCCAATAGAGCAACCAGCATCTAATAGAGCTACCAGCATCAGTTCTAATAGAGCAACCAGCATCTAATAGAGCAACCAGCATCAGCTCCAACAGAGCAACCACCATCTAATAGAGCAACCACCATCAGTTCCAATAGAGCAACCACCATCAGTTCCAATAGAGCAACCACCATCAGTTCCAATAGAGCAACCATGATCAGTTCCAACAGAGAGCCTTGACAGGATGACCAGCATCAGTCTTGAAAAAGAGACATACTTCAACATTGGCGCTTGCAGGTTTAAAAACATCAGTCATGGTAAGGGTGTACCTGT